AGCAAAAACCTGGGAGAAACTTGCTTGAGCGAAAGGCGAAAACCTGACAAGAAAAGACATAGAAGAACAGATAGAAAAGGCAAAAGCTGGAGGGAGAGACCTGCAGGGGGAAAAGTGGAAAAGTTCACAGAAAAAAGCACGCGAGAAAACACAGAAAAAGCAAAAACTTGGGGGAGGAGCCTGCAGTAAGAAAAGGCGAAAATTTTAGAAAAAAAGAGCATGAGAAAAAAAGAGAGAAAAAGCAAAAACCTGAGAGAGGGACCAACATAGGGAAAAGCAAAAAACTTAAGAAAGAGAGCATATGAAAAAAAGGCAGAAAAGTCAAAAACTTGAGAGGGAGATCTGTGGGGAAAAAAAGTGAAAAACGAAACTTTTCAAAGCTGAAAAGTGGGAGAAATATGCGCCAAAATTAAGGCCTCAGATTCAAGATGGGCAGAGGCTTCAACAACTCCCCGGTGATTAGTAAACTTGAAGAGCTTTTAGATCTGTATGTGCCGAGCAGATGCACGATGCATCATTATCGTCTAGGAGTGAAGGCGGGGGTGGCAACTGTTTTGCCAACTGAAGGGGAAAAGCGGACGTTCAGTGGGATTTGTCGTAGTGCAAACGGGAGCGCTTCAGTACTTCGGGATCACATCAGGATGTTTGTGGAAGGTTGTCACGAGCGGAGGACGATGGGGGAAGATGAGGCGCAGGAGTATGGTCGGCTGATAGATTTTCTTACAGAAGAATGGAAGGTTGACACAGTCAAGAAGTTGAAATGTTGCCAGATTTATTTTAGAGGTGGTAGCTTGTACTCCTGCGTAACCGCTGAAACAACTGCGAATGTGCTATACGATCTTTGCGTGCCGGCGGAGGTAAATTTTGAACGGTTTGGTGATTCTATAGATCCAGTTGCTCGATATTGCCTGCTGAATGTCATCGGGGTGTGGCCGCATTGTGGCGATTTGGCGTTGAGGACTAGCAGCAAGAAGTACTACCTGAAGCACGCACTGAAAAGCCCGAAGATGACATCTTCTACTTTCATCAAGAGCTGCTGGACAATTGTTTTGGGTTTGCGCATTCTAAACCAGTCGAGCAAAATCATACTAGCAGCAGGATCCATTCGCAGAGTGCAAGAATCGCAGGCAGTAGTAGAAACAGTGATCGTGGAGGAGTGGTTAACAAATATGGGGGCTAGTGCGCAGCGGTTTTCTCAGGATTGTGGGGAGGAGGAGGTGCGGGAGAGTCGTTTAATTCTGGACATGTGCTATACTCATTTGCAGCTGGAGTGCTTTTCCAAGCTTTCTGTTTGGCCATGGGTGGGAGTACTAGCAGCTACTAGCGCAGCAGACTTTGTTCAACATGTTCGCTCCACGCCAGACAACGGCCTAGACCTCGACTTCTCGCTTAAGATAAAAACAGTAGCCCAGAAAATGCCCTCCCTGCTGCAGGAAAGTATGAAAGTACTAGATGGCATCATTGAAGTCATGAAGTTGATTCCCACTGGCATAGTGTTTTGTGAAAGACTTCACAAGGCGGGGGCGGATGTGAGCAGGAGAAGCGAGCTGTTACACGAACACGTCAGCACCTACGTCATGTTGAAACTTCATCGACAAATGAATCGATTGGACGAGCCTGGTGCGCTTAGTTCTGCTAAGGTCTTCTCGTCTCCTTATGCTGATGCCAATGCAGTTTCAATCGCTGAGGAGATGGCAAAAATTCGCTACGCAGTGTCCAGAGTGCGAGCAGCTTCCATGTACATGCGAGAGCGTTCGGCAAAAGGAGTAGTGGGAAGCATGGAAGAGCAGCAGGACAAGGCTACAACTTGGATGAGTGAGGACTGGCAGAATGAAACAGATGAAGTACGAGCAAGAATGGCTGCTGATGTACTTGCACACCGACAAGAGCTGGCAGAAAAGATGAAGGACCGACTGCGAAAGGCCGAGGCGATTGTTGCTGAGAAGGCACAGAGGGAGGAAAAACAACGAACAACGTTCATGCTGAGCAACGCAATCAATACAGACGAGCAGCTGCGGGATGAAGAAGCAGGAGCCTTTTTCGCGGAAACAAAATCAACCAAAGTCCTTGAAGATGGTACTACTATGCTGCACCAGTCAAAAGCAAACCTTGCAGCGCCTGTTCCTGCTTTAGTACCTAAGCGACGCCTTCCTCCATTTCTTGCTCCGACTATGTCCCCGGCTGCTTCAGAATTAGTCCGTCGGGCGAAGAAGGATGGGCTGTCTTCTGTCCTTGGTGGTGTTTTTATTCATGTGCCTGGCAAAACTCCTTCGGGGAAAGCTGTTCTACGAGTTTACTTGATCACATACTTGCTTCTAAGCCCGATGCGTCTTGGTGGAGTGCGTTTGTCTATAGTGGAGGACGGAGTAGAAAACGGAAAGTGCCGATTGATGAAGACGATCGTGGCAAAAGAACTATCGAGTTTAGTAGATGGGCACAACTTCTTCGTACCGCCGAAAGCCGTCAAAATCGATGGGTTCTTCGTGGTGATGAGTGAAGCTCTACATCTTTTTTGTTTGAAGGCTTCAACTTCTTCTGCCGAGTTGATCAAGGTTTCTACGACTCAAGCACCGAGAAGACCAAACGCTCCGCGAGAAGGTCCAGCTCCCCAGCGAGCGAGAAACGCTGAGCAACAGCCTGCTGCTGCTGCCCGTCGTGTTGTGCCTGCAGTCTTTCGGCCGCCAGTAGAGATCACTCCACCTAGAAACCTGAAGCAGCAGCAGTTTCGTATCAATGCTGAAGTAGATGGATTGTTGGATGAGTTTCTCGGTGATTACGACTTTGAGCCGCTTGAAATAGTGCCACGGGGTGGCAAGTGGACCATGAAAAACAAAATTCAAGTTGTGGACGTCATCAGGGTGACAGCGTCAGACTCTGCAGGAGTGCAACGACTTCGAACGTTGAACATCTTGGGTGATCGTCATTCATCGAAGGACTTTGCGATAGAACTCCATGGAAGTCTACAGGAAACCTGCAGGGCAGTTGCTTTATGCGTTCGATCGTGGAAGTTTTTGCTAAGCCGGGGAGCTACTCTTCAGAAGATCAAGCCGCTGCTTCCCCCGTACACTAAGGCCTGCGCTGCAGAATGGGAAGAGGAGCATTTGCGTATGCGCAATCGTGTGGTGAAAATGCTGCAAGATCGTAAGCAGTACTGGAATCATCACAGCCGTCATGCTTATTATGAAAAGATTCTGAACATTGTGATCAATCGTTTTGACAGTGGAGCTTCTTTGTTGGTTTACTACTAGAATCATGAACACAGAGACGGTCTTGAACGTTCTGCCGGTGGTTTATAAGATTCTTACTTTTTTACAACTTGGCGGTCATATCTGTGTTGCCTGATTGGAGTTTCTGTTTTTTTCCGTGAGAGAGTTTTTAACTTTGAGAGAGTCCTCGGCTGCTTGTCTGATGCTTTTTTGACGAGTGAGTTGAGAGATAGAGAGTGAGAGCTAAAAGTGTTGTAGTTTTTTCCCCATAAGGATACAAATGAAAAAGGAAATGATAAAAATGTAATAAGTGATATGTTTGATTATTTAGAAAAATTTAGATTGACTCCGCTAGTCAAAAAAGGCACGTTCAGAATCTTACAGACATCACTTCTAAAAAACTCCTCCCTGTAGTCGCAATCTTCCACCTCGAGTTGCACACGCAGCCCTACCACTTTTACAAGAAACTACTGCGACTTTTGTGGTTGAATTATATCCACAACACCATCGCGATGTCATCTGTGAACGATCCTGCTGCTATGGCTGCATTGGCTGGCGAGGAGGCCAGCGCCGGCCTGACTGGTGGCGCCACGTCTTCTACTGCTACTCCGGCTGAACAGGTGCAGGCTGAGATGAATGCTGCTACTGCTGCGGCTGGTACTAAGAAGAAGATGAAGATGAAGAAAATGGGTGCAGCTGGAGCCGCTGAGGCTGCGTCTGCCAATGGTGACGAGGATGACGATGCTGTGATGGACCTTGGTGGTCAAGAGTATGATCTTCTTCAAGAAGAGGGTGAGCCCAAGCCTGCAGCTACGACCTCCACGACCACGACCTCCAACAACCGCAGCCGCAAGATGGGGACCACGGTACTAGAGGTTATTTGATAGGTTATTTAGGTCCAAAATCCTTCTGATTTTTTTCAGTTTCAGATGGTTAAAGTTGGTGGGTATTCTGGCGGGTATTTATAGGATATTCTTGGCGGGTATTTAAGAGATAAAGTTTGGCTATTTTGATTTTCTATTTGAAAATCAAGGGTTTAGAAGAGGGAGGGATGATGTTCATTTTACAAATAGCCACCTATTTATCCGTTTGAGCAATCCACTTTATCCACCCGAGTACCCGTTTGAGATTGTGTGCGTTTGATCCAAATAACCGCCAAGAGTAGTACTTTAACCTCTGCCCAAATGATCCCAGTTCTATCTTCAACTTTATGGTTTAGATGTTTAGAACTTTGAAAATGAAGATCCTTACCTCTTATCCAAGACAGCCTCTCCTTCTTGCTAACTGCCGCCTCGCTTGATTCCTATCATCATCCATCTAAAACACTTCACAGAAACGCATTGCTGCTTTGAATTCGCCGGGTGCAGATGCTCGCGTTGGCGCGGGAGCGGCGAAACGTTCTCGCAAGGTTGTTCCGCAGTTGAACCACTCCCACGACGAGTTGTACGCCTACTGCAAGGAGAAGCTTCGCAACAAGTCGAAGTCGGAGAGCTGGGGCTTCGGAATGGCAACGTTCTTGGTTGGGCTGGAGGCCTTTGGTACCAAACCGATTAACGATGTTGCCCTCGCTGGGTCGGTCTTCAAGAATGCCATCGAGTTCCTCATCGACGAGGTGAAGCGCATCTTGCAGGAGCGTGATGCCGCTGGTTTGCGCGATTTGAAGTCCTTGTGGATTCCCACTGAGAAGTGGAATCACATCAAGGATTCGCTCGACGCGCACCGTGCTGAACAACTTGGCCAGAAGACTCGCAAGTCTTTGAAGAAACGCATCCAGAAACGTGAAGGTGCTCTACCGAAAGCGAAGTCCATCTGTGAGTGGTTGTACTCCCACGGTTCGTCGGTGTCGTTGTGCGGATTCCTGGACCGACCGGCAGACGAGTTTGATGCTGATGGTTCTGTTCGCATCAGCGCATGCAAAACCGGACTTGGTGGCGCAAGTAGTCCATCTGGCTTTTCTCCGAGTTCTTCGTTGGGTGGTGAGTCGCCTCAGCTGTCTCTTGGAGGTGCTCGTGGAGACGCAGCTGAGGGCACATCGTCTGCTGCTGAAGCAGGTTCTGGCACAGACACTACTTCTACTACGTCCAGGATTGCGCCTGCTGCTGCTCTCAACATTGCGGACCTGCTGGACATGGATGTTGCAGCTTTTGAGGGCAAGCTCAAGGAGGAAGCCGCTGAGAGGAAGGAGTGGAAGCTTGGTCGTTCGACCTTTGCAGAGGAGAAGACTCCGGATGAGATGCGTTGGCCCCTCAACGTCGCCGAGTCCAACGAGTGCATGAAGATTCTGCGCAACAAGAATCCGGACAACATGCAGCTGACGAATGTGGCGGAAGCTGTCAGTGCAGGAAGCATTGAGATGGGAATCCTGCGTGCGGAAGGTATATATTTATGATTATTGCAATTCTTTCATATACTAGCAAGTTATGCATTTTCTTGGGAATAAGTGGGCAGTTTTTATCTTATTGAAGAAGAGGCAACACATATAGAAAGTTTAGAAAATTTAGACTGCAACCTGTTTGCATTTTTATACTTTCGAGCCAACGAGATCAATTACTATAGCAGCACATCAAAACCCATAAGAAAACTACAGTGAAAGTCTTACCTTCGCACCTTCTTCATTTATCATGAATCACCCACCATCTCGCCAGATTTGTCCGAGCCATACGACCAGCTGGCGACTTGGGTGAGCAACTCTTTGTACCGTCGCGCGAAATCTTCGAACAGCAAGGCGATGGAATTCTTCGACAAGTATTTGGCTTATCTTTGATTCTGGTAGATGATACCACGTTCGTACTCTACTGGTGGGAATACATACCAAGTCCTTTGATCTAGTGGCAAAAATGCATGGACTTTCACACTCGAGTCTTTGTCTTATCATCTTCTAGTACCAGTTTTCTCTTTTCGTTTCTGCAGGAGCAAGCACATCTTCGAGACCACGGCGCCCAAACTTTGCGAAGCGGCAACTGTTGTGGTGAAGCTCGGAGAAATTGGCGGCTCGGCTGTCGAGTTGCAAGAGTCGGACGATGAAGGTGGACCAATGGGCCTCGGTAACCCCTCTAACTTCGAGTTTGAAGAGACCCAAGTTGCTCCGCCAGCTGATGACCCCAGTGAGCCTGAGGGACCTCCTCAGCAGCCGGCTGTCGATGTTGCCGAAGTGCTGTCCCGCCGTTTGACGTTCCGTGAGTTGGAGGATATGCGTCGTGTTCTGGCTTCCGCTGAGATCGCTTTGTTCGACTACCATACGCAAAAGCTGCGTCGCATCCTTGATGATGCTGAGTGGGAGCGCGCTACGGAGGCGGTACAAATAGTCTAGAAATTTGCTTCAAACTACTTTGGCCTCTTATGAACTGAAAGACTTTAGTATAGTTCTACTCTCGTAACAAGATGCAAGAATTGTTCTACTGGAAACCATACGCAAAGAATCCGCCAAAAACCTAAAAAGCAAATTGGAAAACTCTACTATTTTTGTATGAAGATTCTCATTAGTATTTTCCTATCGGTATACCAAATTCCCCACACAGGCACTGGGGGAGTATTTTGCTATTCTGGTCGGACAACGCGATGAGGCGAAGCTCGAACGCGCCCTCAAGCTGCAGCGTGGTGGCGCTTCGAATCAAGATCGTTCCTGGCGTGTTTTTGGTACGATTGCTACGCAGCAGAAACTCACTCCCTCCGCGGAAGAGTGTTGCAAGGCTGTGCTGGGCAAGAATGTGATCGAGCCTTCCACAATCGAGCCAGTCCGTGCGAAAGTCCCCACTCTCAGCGCTTACGTGGATATGCGTGCTGAGACCTACGAGAAGATGGCTCGCGCCATGGAGGCAGGACGGGCGATGTACTACCATGTGAATAGTTGTTCATGTGATGTTGTAGCGTCTTTTCATGTTTCAGGAGAGAAGTACTTGAGTGCATCAGTTTCACGCTTTAACTGTACAGGAAATTCATGCTTTCTATATAACAAAATCGTGACGATTTCTATCCTAGGACTTCGCATTTTTCTACCTTAAGCTTCCTCTTCAACGTTTTCGTGTGTTTTCTTTTCCTTCCCCATCAGTTTCAACTGCCGCGACTTCATGATCAAGAATTGCACAGCCTCCGAGTTGTCCTGCGATGTGCAGGAGATGGCTGGCATTTGCAACGACAAGGACAACGAGCAAAAAGAGGCGTTGGCGAAGTTGGTCAACGGTGAGGTGGAGGACTTGGCAGCGTTTCAGTGGGCCTTTCATGGTCGTTGGGATGCATGGAGATCGTGTCTTTATCTTGGAGTTGGCGAAGGGCCAGGCCTTGATGTTCGAGACCTACCGCCCGCTGTGGGTCCATCGTGAAGAGCCGGACACGGTGAAGGTTTTCATGAAGAAGCAAGTGGAGAAGAAGGGCATCACAGTCGAGCAGGCGAACAAGATGCTGCCCAAGATCAAGGCAGCAGTGGACAAAGATCCCAGTACTATGATTCTTTACTTTCCTATGCTTCTACCTATAGGCTCTGTCTGTTTTAGATTCTTTAGAAGTTTAGAAAATTTAGATGCTACTCCTGCTTCCGGAAGTTCTACAGCATCGAGCTCCTCTATCAACCTCAAACATCTACTCCTTACAGCGAGCAATATGGCGGCCCAGTTGATGGACTATCTCCAAGGCATCGAATTTGTCTTGTCCGAGGCGGATGCCATGCAGCTGAAGACCTTGAAGCACAAGAAGTTCCGCGCGGAAGCCGCGCACGAAGAGGAGGATGACAGCTAAGCTGTTGGAGGAGAAAGGAGGTGTGAAAGTATTGCTGCAGTCGGCGTTTGACGTCGAGCAGAATCATGACGATTCTTAGAGCCTTCTGACCGATAGGAGGACATGCATGATTTATCTTGGAAGTTGTAACGTTTTGCACGGGGGATTTGAATCATATAGAGTTGGGAAATAATTTCTAGGATAAAGTAAATAAGTTCGTCATCATTTCTGTTGTAGTTGGATTAGTACTAGTTCGTATCTAAGTATTTCTGCGTGAGAATCTAACGAAGTAGATAACATGTAGTGGAGTAAATGGCCTATATATGACGACTTGAGTACTATCCTGATGTCTTTCGTCGAGTGAAGTAATCACTATCATGCCTATGGGAATTGTGTGGATATCTCTCCATATTATACGAAGGTGCGTCTTCATTGTCTCCGGACGAAGCTGGTGCACTTTCATTTGTTTCGAACTAACCAACTGAAAGAACCGAGTAGTTTTAGAGAATGAAAGTCCTCGGGATGGAGGCGCCACACCTACCGCTGACCGAATTCGTTCGGTTGGCAATTTGTCTGAGTTTTTCCTCCTGGATCATTCGTTGTGCTAGTGCTAGTCCTCTTGGTACTGGTATGGGCCCAACGTTTGAACTTGATGATATAGAAGCATTAAGATGGTTCTTATATATTGAAATATCTACTAATTCGTGTCTCTTCCTAGTACTATGAATTTATCTGAGTATAAAGATCAGCATGCTCATACGAATCACAACACTGAAAAACAGGGAAAGAGATGAAGAGCTTGTAGATACAAACTGCGCAGCATTGGAGTGGGAGAAAAAGATGAACATGTCCGGCAACAGTTTGAGAGTCGTGCGATGTGAGTTGTTCGGGATTGAGATTGTGGCCGGTTCGGTTGAGGGGGAAGCAGACTCTTCGTCTGTGTCGGTCCTCGGTGTAACAGACATCGCTATCGGCTTTCGGTTCTTCCTCTCGGTTCCTGGTGTCTTGTCTGGAGAAGTTGAAAGATTGGCTGCAGGCTTGTGCAGATGGTAAGGAGATGAAGAATATTCTTAAGGGGGAAAGTGATGTGATGTTGTGGGTGGGGAACTAGAGAAGGAAAAGGACGTTCGAGGGAAGTGGCAGCTGCTTCACTTTATCCCTTGATTACCCTTTTCTTTATCTCTAGTTTAACGGTTCAGGCTGCCTGGTGGCAATCGCTTGATCTCGTCACCTTCGTCCCGGGGTCCCAGCGAAGCCGCTTGGCCCCGTGGGGTGCCTCCGTAAGGTGGGCCGAACGCCGTAGAGCTGTCCAAATGAGTCCCGCCGCATGCTTCCCCCTAATATAAGGGGGAACTTTGTCGCTCTCCTTGATGCGTGACGTGTGACGCGTCACGCGTCACGAGTCGCCCCGAAGCTGCCCGCGGATCTATCAAGGGCTCACGGATCTATCAAGGGCTCGCGGATCTATCAAGGACTCACGGATCTAGCAAGGGCGCACAGATCTATCAAGGACTCACGGATCTATCAAGGATCCGCCGATCTATCAAAGGAAGATCCGTGGAGCGATCGAAGATCCCCGGATCTATCAGTGAAAGATCTGCGGAGCGATCGAAGATCCGCGGATCTATCAAGGATCCGCAGGTCTATCAAGGATGGATCCGCGGATCTATCGAAGAAAGGTCCGCGGATCTATCAAGGATCCACGGATCTCCCAAGGGTCCGCGGATCTATCAAGGGTCCGCGGATCTATCAAAGATCCCCCGGATCTATCAAGGATCCACGGATCTGCCAAGGATCCCCGGATCTATCAAGGGCCCGCGGATCTATCAAGGATCCGCGGATCTATCAAAGAAAGACCCGCGGAGCGATCGAAGATGAGACCCACGGATCTACCAAGGATCCACAGATCTGTCAAGGATCCACAGAGCAGATCTATCGAGGATCCACGGATCTATCAAAGAAAGATCCGTGAGCGATCGAAGATCCACGGATCTATCAAGGATCCACAGATCTGTCGAGGATCCGCTGATCTATCAAGGGCCCACGGATCTATCAACATCAAGGATCCACGGGCGCGGGCCTCGTATAACATAAGTTAGCGAGAGTCTAGATTCATCAAAATCAAGCCCCTCCTGCCCGTTGTTGCGTGCTGCGTGACGCTTGAAATTGAGGGCAGACATCTCATCCCCCCGAAGCTCTGGGCGTGACGCGGCGGGCGTCACGCGTCACGAAACAGCTCTACGGCGTTCAGTAAGTCCCACGGAGTTAGAGCCCCCCCAGCGGTTGCGCTTCGCGTTTTTACTCCTACCCTAACTCGGACTAAACTCCTGGCACATGCTCGGGCTCGTTTCTGCTGTTAAGGGGGTCAGCTTTTAAGCCTAAAAAAACCAGCCTGGTCGTATTTTTTGGCGCCTGAAAACGCAGAAAAAAGGAAGGCGCTTCGGGGTCTTGCTTTGTTTCTCTTTTATGCAACCGGCAGCACATGGCTGAAAACCTAAAAAGTCTGGGCATGCTCTTCCAAATGAAACACGGCGAAGCCCAAGCGGCGCCACTTCAGTGGCCCCCTGCTTGCTCTTAGGTCTGGCTTTCGCCTTTTTTCTTCTTTTTGCTCGCTGCGCTTTCGCCACTGGGCTCATGCTGGTGGCAAGGCCCTCCTTTTGCTCGGCGGTCTCTCTTTTTTGCTTGCGGCGCTTTTGGTTTTTTCTGCTGGGCTCTTGGGCGGGGGCTGTGGGCACTCTTTGGCGGGGCAAACCCGCCCGCCGTGCGCGCGTGCTCCTCTCCCCTTGTGCCCCCCCCGCTAGCACCCCGCCTCCGGGGGCGGCGGGGCCGGGCGCTCCCGGAGAATGAGGCAGCCGCCCTGCAGTGTTGGCTCTGGGTTGGGGTGTCGTTTTTTGTCTGCCGGCTTGTCTGCATTGCAAGCACTATAAGAAAGGTGAAGCTTGGCACCTGCACGCGGGCGGGGGCGGCGGGCGTTGTGTGTGGTATTGGTAGCGCCCTCCTTTGGAGGTTTCTCGCCGCCGCTCTCTGCCCATCGAATGGCGGCAGACGCAGGGCAAGCGCTGGCCTGTTGGGTCCATCTGGTGCTCGTGATTTCGTGGCGCTTTTCGAAGTGGCTACGTACCCGGCTCCCCTCCCCTCTTGTGCGCCGTTAGGTTACCGCCCTCATTGGTCGCCAAGAATGGGGAAGCCCTTGCTTTCTAGGCTAGGCAGGGCGCCTTCGCTTGTTTGACAGCCTTACGGCTTCGCTTGGTGTAGTTTGGTAGTGTATTTCGTTGCTGAAGAGAGGCATCAGCTCAGACCAGACCAGCCCCGGCCCCGTCCTAGAGAGCAGCCGGCAGCTCTCTCCTAAAGCGGCAAAGCTATCCAGGCCCACTCCATGCGCTAGCAGAGTAGAGAGCGCGTCGCCCCAACTCATGGCGTGCCTTGATGAAAGTCCTTCGAGGAGGAACTCAGGGCGCTATGCTTCCCCGAGAACAATGGAGGCGCGCCAGCCGGCTGGCTTGGTGAACAGCAATGAAAAAGAATGGGAAAGCGCTGAGAAA